CTACTACTACTACTACTACTACTTACTACTACTACTACTACTACTACTACTACTACTACTACGTACTACTACTACGTACTACTACGTACTACTACTACTCTACTCTCTCTCTCTCTCTCTCTCTCTCTCTCTCTCTCTCTCTCTCTCTCTCTCTCTCTCTCTCTCTCTCTCTCTCTTCTCTTCTATTTTAGGGTCACGTGACTCTCTCTCTCTCTCTCTGCCCACACTCACTCTCCCAAAGTAAAAACCCATTTTCTATCTCATTCTCTTTTTTGTGCTCTGTCTTTCTCTCTCTCTCTACCCACCCTCGCTCTTTCTCTCTCTACTCACCCTCTCTCTTTCTCTCTCTAGCTTTGGACTAAGATCTGGCACACTAATTGTCGAACTATATTACAAGCCATGTTACTGGAACTCAATAAGGTGTGCCGAACCGAATTACTAGAGAATAAGCGAGAGAGAAAATGAGAGAGAGAGAGAGAGAGAGAGAAAGAGAAAGAGAGAGTGCTTTTATTTTGGGAGAGAGAGAGGGTGGGCAGACAGAGAAAGATATATGTGACCCCAAACTAAAGGAGAAGAGAGAAAGGGCATTTTTATCCTAAATCCAGTGACTTTTAAACTTGAGGAGTAAATATATTACAAAAAATGTACTAGGGTTTAGAGTGAAATACAAAAAGTTTAAAGGGGGCGGGGGGGGGGGGGGTACCTGTAGATATTCTCTACCTTTGGTGTTTCGGTACAAGTAATGTGCAACAAAAAGGGAGCTCATCAAATTAGGGTGGCAATTCGGTCGGACGTCCTAGGTCGACCCAAACCAACTTTGGATCCGCATCTTTGTTTTGGACTCGGCAGGTCAGGTCTTGGTCATGGACCTATTGGGTTGGGTATCGGGTGTAGACGACCCAACCCGGTATGAAATATATATAATGAGTAATGACACTACGAGACCTTCCCACATCCATGTAAATAGGACCCCAAAGGATCACCATTAAATTTTGACACATATCTTTTGAAAAGTTATCATATGGGTATGGGACTTGGGTGAATGGGTTCATTGATAATTTTTCTAGATATCTATGTCAATATTTAATGGTGATCCTTTGGGGTCCTACTCACATGGGTGTGAGAGGGTCTCATACTATCATTACTCTATATAAATTATTCTTTTTTATTTTTAGACTGGGATTGGACTAAACCTGAGTTAGAGTTCGATCCGAACCCACGTAAACCTTAGTCGGGTCTGGTTAGGTCCAGCCTTCCAAGTCCACTCGGACCCATAGTTAGCAAGTCGGGGACTATAAGTAAATCGGCTCACCATAAAATCAGAAACAAATCGTTTTTATTTTATAATTAGAGTAATGATCCTATAAGACCCTCCCACACCCATATGTGTAGGACCCCAAAGGATCACCATTAAATTTGGCACAGATCTCTAAAAAGTTATCACATGAATGTGGGACTTGACTTTTTTAGAGATCTGTGCCAAATTTAATGGTGATCTTTTTGGGGTAGGGTCTCATAGGACCATTACTCATATAATTAAGTCAATTAATTTAAATGTCTCTTGACTCTCATCCAATCATCCAATATTAAATATATAATTAA